TCCAGAGACAGCCCAATGCAGCCCAGTACTTTCATCAGTTTATGCTCCAGCAGCAGCTTAACAGTGCCCAGCTTCACAGCCTGGCTGCTGTCCAGCAGGTGAGTTGCCAGGGGGCAGAAGGAGAGGCATTGGAAGGATTTAGAGATTCTCTCTTTATACAGTGACTTTTACACAAGGTCCTCCTGAGCCATAATTAGAGGAGTCTCTAAACACATTGTCTAAAGCTAATACAAACAGCTAGTCAACTGGAAGCTTGATGCAAATATTCACTTGGTTTTCAGGTACAGAGCAGGGGAAGATAAAATTTGGCATCCCCATAAGGGAAGTTGAATTTTAGAGGCCTGTGACCCGCCCCTACACCTTTTTTAAAATAAAAGATGTGTGGTTAAATCAGCAGTGAATACAGCAGTGTTTAAAAACTGTCTTAAAGTGCACCATGGACTGTCATTTCTCTTGAGAATAAGCATGGTCTTTTGTGTGGCAAATTTCAGGTGGTATCCTCTGAATTTTACACCTTGAAATTTAGTAGCCTGTGTTTTACCAGTTACTAGCAAGAGGGATCTGGAGTAGATCTTGTCCAGCTGGGAGGGTGTTTCTTTTATTGAGATATATTTATACAAATAGAAATATATTATGATCCATAATTGTTGAGTGATTTTTTTTTTCTTTAGCAACTTTGCACACCTACCAGACTTTATCACCAGCTGAAGATGAATTATGTGTGATGCAAATACAGTTCTGTCTGTGTAACAATATCTCCATAAGTTGCTGTCCTCCCTGTCTGTTAATCCAGGATTTAGTTGTTCTCAAAATCCCTACCTGCAGTTTTATAGCATAAAGGGACTAGAATCCTCTCACCAGTTTCGCACAGATCGTAGTTATAAAACTAACTTGTACAGTGGAATTCCCATGGGATTGTGGTGGGGAGGGAGTGAGGCGAAATCTAACAATATTTACATTCCTCCACAAACCACATGTGCTGTATTCTGAAGTTTGTTACTTGGAGTGCTATCATTGCATTGTTACTCAACTGCCTCACTGGCCCAGCAAATTGCTAATACTGTGAGGAACGTCTGGCTGTTAGCAGTGGAATGCAGCATCAGGATGAGGGTTGCAGTGTGTGGGTAGCATGACAAACTGAGGTGACAGTAGGATGTGTACCCATGTGTGGAAGGACTGGAGGTCATGCACTCTGAGGATCTGTCGTCCATGGTCTTGGGGATTACATAGGACTGAACTGGTTGGAGAAGGGGAGGTACCTTGCTGTGTTGCTGCACCTGATATGTAAGGCATGGCAAGGGTTTGTAGTGGTTATATTGTGCTCCCGTTATCAGGAATAGGAGAAGATGGTGATGAGGCTAGGTGTTCTGACAAAGCCACTATTTGGGCTGGATTGAAAAGTTTGTTCCAGGTACTCATGTCTCTGTCACTCTCTCTTGCAGGCTACAATTGCAGCCAGTAGACAGGCCAGCTCCCCCAACACCAGCACCCCGCAACAGACCACCACCACCCAGGCCTCTGTAAGTAACTGCTCTCTCACACACATATCAAAGCCTCCTTTCCACCCTTGCCTTGTTCTTCCTCCTCTGTCTTTTAAGGAAGGCAGTCAGCCAGGGACACACAACTTCTAAAAGTGCTGGGATTCCACAAGATGCAGACAACTTTGAGGATTTGGGGTGCTGTCATTGCTGGTGGGGGTTGAGCCCGGAGGAGGTTTCTGAGGGGGAGAGGCTTTTAGCTGGAAAGGTAGACACTGATCTATGTTTGCTGAAGGCTTTGGGGGTATGTTGTTGTGGATTAGGAAAGGATCAGGACTTCTTGAAAGGGAATGCTCTTGACTGGCTTGAAAGAGAATGCTCTTCTTGAGCAGAGTAGTAGTTTGTTGGATGAGAGGAAGTCTGGTTTTGTAGTGAGTGGGAAGGAACTGAGATTTGTTCAGGGAGTAGATGAGTTGGTTAGGCTAGAAATTGCTTGGTGGGCTTTTCTTCTTTGCTTGAGAGGCTGGAGAAAATTATGTATTTCTTTTTAATCTCTTATTGCAGTTGCATGCTAACAGTGGTGATACAGCTCAGCATACAAATGAGGGCTTTGGCTAGTTTAGATTGCATGGCCCCTTAAGACAAGAACATTTTTCTTCTTGGTCCCCTTTGTGATATAGGAAAAAACTGTAAAATATCTGTTCTGGCTGTAATCCAGTAAGCACATTTGTACTTATTTCTTTGCCTCCACCTCTTCATTTATGATTTGGGAGTTTTATCTGTTTTAAGATCAACCTAGCCACCACATCAGCTGCTCAGCTGATCAGTCGGTCACAGAGTGTGAGTTCCCCCAGCGCCACAACCCTGACGCAGTCTGTGCTCCTTGGGAATACCACCTCGCCGCCTCTCAACCAGTCACAGGCCCAGATGTATCTCCGGGTAAGAGATGTGTATGCAAAATGTGTCCTGACCATGAACTCCATTTCCTAGCCACTTCAGTGTTTCACTGCTTGGGATTACCAACACCTTTTGACTAGCTCTAGTTTTAAGGATGATGCATTATATTTTAAATTCAGATGGAGAAGCTCTTGTCCCTGAAACTACAAGTTTGACTCTGGGCTCAGCTTTTGAGGGTAGATGAGCTTTGTGTTCTGTGGCTCAGGTGAGATCATTAAGAACCATGTTTGTCTCTGCTCTGCATAGATGTTAAAGATCCCATGGCACTTCTCAGTAGAGTGTAAATGTGACATATATGTCCTAGACTTGCATATAGCCCACAGAAATAAAGGTACTTTTCTGGATGAGTGCTTGAACAGATATATGGTAAATTATTCTCTTCCACCACTGCCAAGCTCAGAAACATAAATCAGAATTCAAGTAAATCTAGAAACTTAACATGAACAAATATAATTTTAATTGGTTTGAAGTGCTGCTAAATAGAAAACATTAGGCTTGACTATAGTCAATATGGGGTTTGGTTACCTATTTGAAAAATATTTTCTGTGTCAGTTGACTTTAGATACAGATTGTAATCCCCTTCTTTTAAGCAACCCTGGTCTTGGATATATGTTTTTATCACTGTTTCTCAACCTGTCCTGGATATGCATTTGAAAATTAAATGACACCCGAGGCTTTTAGCCAGTCTTGGGCAGTCTGTTGGAGTTGTCCTAGGCCCATGTTTGGTAGAAAAGTGCTTGTTTCCGTAAGGAGACTGTTCCCAGTTTCCTGTTCCTGAGGGTTGTGTTCAGTGATACAGTGCAGGGAGGGTTGGGAGTTTTGTAGTTTGTGACATTGCAGCCCATTGTTGGTTTGTAATCTGTTTGCTTGTGGTTTGTTGTCTGTCCTTCTCTCCTCTGCATTCCTTTCATTCCACATCACCTGATGCCTCCTCAACAGCCACAGCTGGGGAACCTGTTGCAGGTAAACCGGACCTTGGGCCGCAATGTGCCTCTTGCCTCCCAACTCATCCTGATGCCCAATGGGGCTGTGGCCGCTGTCCAGCAGGAGGTACCATCCACTCAGTCTCCTGGGGTCCATGGAGACACAGACCAGGTCAGTGACACCCCCTCTGAGAGTCCTCCCTTTCACCTGCTCTCCATCACCTCACATTCTGATCTTTGTCTCTAGCCATCCCTGTGTAGCATATTAGCTGTATTTTATCCCCATCCTGTGTCCCTGTTTAGGCAGGAGAAACTGTTTTCTCTTGCCACTGTTTTTTCATATTTGCTTTTTGCCTCCAGAAATGGGATTAATCTCTGCTTAAAATTTCTGGGGTGAACCACAGGCTGGATCAATCCCGTCTTCACAGTTTGTCAATTCTCCTTGTGTGAAAAGAAGTGTTGAGTTCTGTGTCCAGTTTGCAGTCACTCAGCTGTGAAGAGTCTTTGCCAGCAGCAGTATTCCTTCACCCAGTTGGTTTGTTATTGAAAAGATGCTGAAGACCAAAAAGGCCACAAGGTCTTAGCTCCTGCATTCATCTATAAGTAATTCTCCAGGTCTGGGAGCTGCCGTGGCTTCCCATTTTCCTTGTCCTATACCAGTCACTGGGATTTCCAGTAACTTCATATTTTTCTTGTCTGGAGCACTTTCTTTGAAGGAAAGTGAGCCATGATCATACTTGAAGCTAACGCTGCATTTGGAGGGGGAGCAAATACAGAGGGTGGCAGCACCAAAATGCAGAGGAACTGGTGAAATCAGAAGGGCTGCAGGCCATGGGTAGATCTGTGGACCCTCCTGAGTGGAAAGCTCTGCACAGAGGGACGAGGCAGGTGACACAAAAATTGAAAAGGAATTACTGGTCTTTAAAGGGGTATCTCAGCACTTTTAGAGTCATGCTAAACTGGATCCTACCAACAAAAGGGTAAGGCAGGCAGGTCTGAAGGTTGCCCCCTGCCTCAGAGAATAGTGGTGTCCTCACATGCCGTTCAGAAAGTGCCACGAGATCTTTAACTTCCATCAGAGATGGGGCTGGAGGGAGTTCAGGATAATGTGTTTTCTGAGGAGGGCTGCACCTGAGCTTTGCCCTTGTAGCATTAGCCAGCTCCTCATGTGAGATTTGAAGCATCGACTTAGCTTGCATCCCAGTAGAGTGTGCAGCTTATGTGTTCTCTGCTAAACTTGCGGCCAGTAATGCACGTGAAGCAAACGGACTCTGTTTTGAATGTGTGTTTCTAGGTGCAGAACTTGGCTGTGAGGAGCCAACAGACCTCTGCCACTAACGCCCAGCTCCAAAGCTCTGCTCAGAAGGCAGCTCTGCCAGGAAGCTCCCAGGCGTCAGGCTTACCGCAGGCCAGCAGCACGGGCCAGACCTTGGCAGTGGCTCAGGCCTCCTCTGGCAGCACGGGCCAGTCCCTCAACTTGAGCCAGGGGGGAGCAGGCAGCAATGGTGTCTCTGGGGGTGTGGTGGCAAGCGGTGGGAGCCAGACCTCAACGGGATTGAGCCAGGCCTCCTCGGCAGGCGCTACTGGCAGTTGCCAAAGGAAAGGCACAGGGGTGGTTCAGCCGTTACCAGTAGCAGCTGCCCAGGCTGTGACTGTCAGCCAGGGAAGCCAGACAGAGACAGAGAATGCAGCCACAAAGAAGGGTGAAATGGACAGCAGTGGACAGCAAACAGTGGGCATGAACCTGACCAGGACTGCTACGCCAGCACCCAGCCAGACACTGATCAGCTCAGGTAAGTGCAGACCTGTTCCTTCTCTTTGAGCCCACTGGGCTTTCAGAAGAGTGCCATTTGAAAGCCCAGTGGTGAGAGGTTTCCCAGTGTGCCTCCCAGCCTCTGCGTTCCTGGAGGCTGGTCTCTGGGGGTTATCCCTTTCTACTAGCAAGAGAAGTTGATTTAGTCCCCCATGTCCTCTGCCAGTAAGCTGTCAGTCATTTAATGACTCAAACCAGTGCAGTGTCTGGCTGCTTTTTGGTTTTTTTCATGTTGTTGTTTCCAGCTGCACTGTTGTGAACTTTTGTGCTCTCCTCTTTTCCCACTCTGTGTTCGTATAGCCACATATACACAGATCCAGCCACACTCACTGATCCAGCAGCAGCAGCAGATCCACCTGCAGAAGCAGGTGGTGATCCAGCAGCAGATTGCCATTCATCACCAACAGCAGTTTCAGCACCGCCAGTCCCAGCTCCTCCACACAGCCACCCATCTCCAGCTGGCACAACAGCAGCAACAACAGCAAGCACCATCTCTGACCCAACAGCAGCAGCAAGCTCAGCCTCCACAGCAGCAGGCTCCACCCCAAAATCAGCAGCAGGCTCAGACCCTTGTGGTGCAACCTATGTTGCAGTCCCAGCCACAGCCTGTGCAGCTCCAGCAGGACAATCCTTGCCAGCCAGCCACCAAGTCACCTGTTCCAATTCAGTCAAAATCTCTGGTCACCCCTATCAAACCACCTCAGCTTGGGCCTGCCAAAATGTCAGCAGCACAGCAGCCTCCACCACACATCCCAGTGCAGGTGGTGGGTACTCGGCAGCAGGGCTCAGGCCAAGCCCAAGCACTGGGTTTGGCCCAGATTGCTGCAGCAGTGCCGACATCCCGGGGAATGCCAGCTGTGGTCCAGCCTGTTTCCCAAGCCCATGCTGCTTCCCCATCATCGTCTTCAGCTCCAGCATCCTCACAGGAAGCTCCTCCTCTCACCACAGGGGTGAATTTGGCACAAGTTCAAGGCACAGCCCACATGGTGAAGAGCCCAGCCTCCTCTCCAGTTGTGGCTCAGATGCCAGCAGCATTCTACATGCAGTCTGTCCAGTTGCCAGTAAGTGATACCATTGAGAAGGAGAATAGCATATGGATTCTGTTTATTCATTCCTAGGACACCAATCGCAGTCCAGGCCCAGGTCAGTGGGATGGAATGGGTAAGGGGTTTGGGTAAAGGGATGTGGAGACGTTTTCCTCTCGAAAACACTTAATTCCAGTCAAACCCTTGGGGTTACTGGCTACTAGTGTTTCTCTTCCACATTATCATTCGGAGACTTGCATGAAGTAAATAGGTGAGACTCGGACCCTGCCCCTATGGGGTAGGTGTCCACATCACATACTAAATATCACATTTAACAATGTGGTGGGTTGACCTTGGTTGGCTGCCAGGTGACCACCAAGCTACTCTATCACTCCCCCTTCACAGCAGGACAAGGGGAGAAAAATACAAGAAAAAGCTTGAGGGTTGAGATAAGGTCAGAGGGATCACTTACCAATTACCATCACAGGCAAAACAAACTCAATTTAGGAAAATTCATTTAATTTATTGCCAATTAGTCAGAGTAGGATAATGAGAAATAGGAACAAATCTAAGAAAATCCTCCCCCCCTTCTTTGCAGACTCAACTTCATTCCCAGCTTCTACCTCTTCCCCCTGAGCAGTGCAGAAGAAAGGGGCTTGATATCAGTTAATAATATTTTGTCTCTGCTGCTCCTTTCTCTTCATACTTTTCCCTTGCTGCAGCATGGGATCCCTCCCATGGGATGAAGTCCTTCAAGAACTTCCCTAATATGGGTTCTTCTGATGGGCTGTGTTTCTTCACAAACTGCTCCAGTGGGGGTCCTCTCCATGGGGTGCAGTCCTTCAGGAACAAACTGCTCTGGTGTGGGTTCCTTACAGGGTCACAGGTCTTGCCAGAAAACCTTCTCCAGTGTGGGCCTCTCTCCACTGGGCCACAGGTCTTGCCAAGAGCCTGCTCTAATGTGGACTGGCTCTCCACAGGGTAACAGCTGCCTTCAGGGTGGAGTCTACCTGCTCTGCTGTGGGGTACTCCATGGGCTGCAGGTCGAGATCTGCTCCACTGTAGGCCTTCATGGGCTGCAGGGGGACAGCCTGCCTCACCGTGGGCTGCACCATGGGCTGCAGGGCACCTGGAACACCTCTTCCCTCTCATTTATTAACCTTGGTATCTGCAGGGCTGTTTCTCACTGCTGACTCCCAGGTGCTGCTGCACAGTATTTTTTCATCTTTCTTAAATATGTGATGACAGAGTCACTACCACTGTCGCTGATGGGCTCAGCTTTGGCGAGTGGTGGGTGCATCTTGGGAGCCGGCTGGCACTGGCTCTGTTGGACATGAGGGTAGCTTCTGGTGTCTTCTCACAGAAGTCAACCCTGCAGTCCCCTGCTACCAAAATCTTGACACATAAACGAAGTACAAACAGTAACTGGCCTCTTTGTTGTCTCAGGAGAGCGATGAGAGCTGAGTGGGCCATGAAGACTGAACTCTCCTCTCCTCACTAGGTGTGGATACCTCCAGGTCAGAGATTGCTTGGTGTGTGGTACCAGCCGCTGACTCTAGGCCTCAGAGGATCCTGTAGCAATAGGCTATGCGGAGGGAAATAGAGATGGCTCATGCTGCACAGGCCTCGTTCATGCTGCTGTGAATTGTCCAGCTGGGGCCTAGCTAACTCCTGGGACACCAGCCAGTTTAGATATCCTTAGCCAGTTGCTGAGACTGTTTCTAATCTCTGGCTGCTTCTTCGGGGAGGTGTCACAGGGTTTGTCTGCTTTTTAGAGTTGAGGAAACATACCTGTTCTCATCCAACACGTTTTCCCTACTGTTCTGACTCTCCGTCATTGAAACATGTCTGATCTAGCTGAAAGCCTGTTTGGAAACTGCTGGGTGACTGCCATTCCATTTCTTTCTTCCTGGGATAATCCTTTGAGGTTTACACAGTGTCATGGTATTATAGCAATGTATCAGCATGACTTGGGACACCAGATCCTAGTCATAGTGGTGTGGTAGTGACTCCACTGAAGTTTTGCTCCCTGCTAGGCAAATGCTCCTGAGTAGAGGTGAATGCTGTGAGGGAGCTAGAGGCATCTTCAGGAGAAGGAAATGGGCTGGAGATGAAGTACAGTGGTGCAGAACGCATCTTCATTTTTGATCTGCCTTGTTCTTTGCTTTGGGGCTCCACTCTCTGCTTACCTGTACCTCTCTGTTCATGCAGGGCAAGTCTCAGACCTTAGCGGTAAAGCGCAAGGCAGAGTCAGAGGAGGAGAAGGAGGAATCATCCAGTGCCACTGCACTTCTGCCTGCCAGGTCCTCTCCTGTGACAGAGAGTCCCAAAAACATGGAAGAGAAGAGTGGCCTTGGAGGTGAGGTACAAAGGAGAGCTCTGCTTGTGTGTGCTAACAATCTGATCTCGTATTCCACTTGAAGTAGATGGAGTAAAGGTAACTGACTCTTGTGCTGTTAACTTTCCAGATAAATCTGATCCTGCTGCTACTGCAACCCCAAATACCACCTCAAGTGAAGGAGCATCAGTCGCCCCTGCCCCTGCTCCCACCCCTAACCTGGCAATGACGTCACGTCAGATGGGAGACTCGAAACCCCCACAAGCCATTGTCAAGCCCCAGATCCTCACACACATCATTGAGGGCTTTGTAATCCAGGAAGGAGCAGAGCCCTTTCCAGTAAGGATTCTCTGCTGTGGGGGAAGGAGGTGTAGTGCTCTCTTGGGAGGGTGGTGGGCTTCCATTTTTGGACAGGAGCTTCTTTCCCCATATTTCCCCCAAAACTCAGCATTTTTAGCCTGAGACACAGTGAATAGGAAGGAGGTGGGTGTCATGCATGAAGCAAGGCATTGATTGGTGGCATTAAAGAGACTGGGTTGAAAGGAGTAAAACAAGTGTGGTGGGAAATGTTTTCTCCAGTAGTACCTAAAGCAATAATTTATGCAGGAATTGAAAGAAGGTTCTTCTCTGATTTTTAGTGAGGCAAAGATGAACTGCATTTTGAACAAGCAGTGAGTGAAGTTAAAGCAAATAAGGGGGAATGGAGTTACATGGACTTGCAGGCTATTCAAGGCAGATAGTACTTAGTGATATTTGAATGAACTGCCAAGCCTGTGAGTCAGGAGGGAGTAAGAGCTTTGCTCAGCATCTCCCCTTCCCCAGTAGGCAGAGGGGTTCTGAGCTGTAATGAGTTATGAGTGGCATATACCTTGCAGAGGGTGGAGACACAACGAATCCTTTACTGATGGGCCCAGCTCTTTCTCTTCCTGTCCAGGTGGGTTGTTCTCAGCTGCTGAAAGAATCTGAGAAACCACTGCAGGGAGAGGCCCCTTCTGTCCAGAGTGAAAACCTGTCCAGCAATTCTCCGGGAGGGGACAGTGCTTCTGTGGGTGAGTTTCAGCACCAGGAAGCTTAGCTGGTATTACTGGAAGTTTGTGCTCTCTGATATGGTATTACTGATTTTACACATTATGGACTTGCATCCCTTCTCGTAACTCCCTAGAGATGCAAGCTATGGATGCCCCTTTCTTGAGTGTCAGAAAATACTTTGTTGTTGTTGTTAATGTGATCTAACAGACCCTGCGTCAGTAGTAAGCAGGAGAATCTGAACTGTACCTGTCTCTAGTGACTCTGAGGGCTGTGAAGGATGTGTGGATACAGCAGAGAGTGCATTGAGGGAGATCTACTCCCACAGCTATATAGGATATGAGGGATATGCTATCTTTTGCTTGCTTAGCAAAATGGTACTGACATGAGAAATAAACTGTTGTGTTCAATATCCTGGGGTCCTATTTAGTGGAGCTTCTGCCTCTTTTGTCCAAGCCAACTGCTTAATGACTCAATGAAAAGTAGTGCTTGCAACCTGTCTGCTCAGAGGAAGAGTGGTGGAATGGGGAATCATTGTGTGTGATCTGCTTCAGTTCAAATCATCAGTTGGTGTGTATCTCTATCACTAGAGCTTGATAAGAAGGCAAACTTGCTGAAGTGTGAATACTGTGGGAAGTATGCCCCAGCAACCCAGTTCCGTGGCTCCAAGAGGTTTTGTTCCATGACCTGTGCTAAAAGGTAATGGCAAGACATAATCTTCCTTTTCTCTGACTACACATTCTCTGGAACTGGGCATCTGCCCCTTCTCTAGGTAGTGTAGAAGACTTGAGTACATCTGATCCTCCCTGCATGCGCTGCACTGGCCACAGAGATCCTTTAGGACTCTAAATTATTTGTAAACGCCTCTAGGTCTGGAGAGGTAGATGTGGTGTTGAGTGTAAATGGGATTTCTGACTTGCTCAGAAAAGGAAGTGGGAAGGGGGAATTTCTGGGGCTCCAAAGAACTCCTCTTCAGTCAAGTGTATATTTGACTGACTAAACACATGTGTGCCAGTAGCTGCCTGCTGCACTGGTACTGGACAAAGACACAAGGGAGCACTGGGGAGGAAAAAAAGGGAAGTTAGTCATTGCTGCCTCCTATTGATAGCAGAGTGCTTGTTATGGGTCTTTTTTCCCTTGAAGAAATGTCTTAATTGACCCTTCAGATGTTAGATCAAGACTGGTGTGCAAATATTGCTTGTGTCAGAAGTCTGGGCTGGTTCCTTCCAGGGGGAAGTCTTAGAAGGAGGAGAACAGAGGAGTTTTATCCTCATCTAGAGCAAGAAGAAGTGGTAGGTTTTAGGTAGCTGCTGTTTCCTAACTGCTGCTCTGCTTTGGCTTATTTGAGGTACAACGTCAGCTGCAGCCATCAGTTTCGGCTGCAGAGAAAGAAGATGAAGGAATTCCAGGAAGCCAACTACGCTCGCGTGCGCCGGCGGGGACCACGGCGCAGCAGCTCTGAAATTGCTCGAACAAAGATCCAGGGCAAGCGCCACAGGGTAAGGACATAGTCCTGTCTGCCTCTGCCCAGGCAGATCTTGGTGTCAAAGCTGTCCCTGCTGGACAGCTGTATCACTTTCTCACAGTGGATGTAGTCGTACAGGACGTGCCAGGTGCACGCTGACACAGTCACTGCACAGGGCACAGTGAGCTGTTACAATCGCTCATCGACTGCAGAAAGTGGATTCACATTTGTACTTGTTCTGTTTACTCTCACATGTGTCTCAGAGGTCCCAGTGAGCGAGATCAGCTGACAGCCTTGGTAGGAAACAACCCACTTCTCCCATTTGATTAGAATTCTTCCAGATGAATGATTTGAATCAGATTATAAAAGAACTGAATGAGTTTCAGAGCTAACATGAGGAAGAAGAATGGGCTGGGGGAGGATGGGGAGAAGGAAAAGGAAGAGAGGTGAGAGAAAGTCTCTTTCTGGCATCAAGGAGCTCTTGCATCAGTTGCCTCTGGACCAACAGCCTGAGACAGTTGCACCAGATGACTGGGACAACTTCTTCTGTTTCCAGTGTTTTGTTTTGCACCTGGTAATCGTGAATTTCTTACAAAGCGCCTTTTGTTTTCTTTCTTTCCTATGGTCTTGTAGGGCCAAGAAGACTCAAGTCGAGGCTCTGATAACTCCAGCTATGATGAAGCTTTGTCCCCTACATCTCCAGGACCCTTGTCAGTAAGGGCTAGTCATGGAGAGAGGGACCTGGCAAACTCTAGCATGGTCCCGCCTACCCCAGACCTACATGGCATCAACCCAGTCTTTCTGTCCAGCAATCCCAGTCGTTGGAGTGTGGAGGAAGTGTACGAGTTCATTGCATCACTGCAAGGTGAAATTAAGATCCTCTCCTGCAGTCCTGTGACCCAGTAGCATGTGGAAATACTTTGGCTCTCTTTCTGGAAAGAAAGCGGTGTCAGTGGTGCCTAGTGCTTTTATTGCACTTTTGTAACTGCTTCTGAATTGGAGTAGGTTCTACAGATGGGTGATTTGTGCTCCTCAAGCACCCTGTGTCCTCAGGCAGATTGTGGAGTAAAGCGGGGAGGGGGATTGGTTAGATTCCCAGCTTGCGTTCTGTACCTGCCAGAGGCCCAAAGAATGGGAACAAGGGGAGTGCCCAGGGCACATCTGTTTCTCAGACCTGTTTTTTTGGGTTTTTTTCCACTTTCACAGGTTGCCAGGAGATTGCTGAGGAGTTTCGGTCACAGGAAATTGATGGCCAGGCCCTGTTGCTTCTGAAGGAGGAACACCTCATGAGTGCCATGAACATCAAGCTGGGACCAGCTCTCAAGATCTGTGCCAAGATCAATATCCTCAAGGAGACCTAACAGCTCTGAAGTCGGAGGTCTCACTTCTGCTCTGACCCCAGGGCAGCTGTCAGCTTTGGAGCATCCTGCTGGGGCAGGGAAGAATGGGACAGTCCCCTGTGGTCTTGCATTCAAGAATGAGAAGGAATTTAACTGACTGAAACTGCCACGCACAAGCCCATGTCTTGGTCTCTTAATGGTGCTACAAGGGGGAGGAAAACTCCCACCCGGGGCCTTGAAACATCTTTCCCTCTTCCTGATTTTGAATATGCCTCTCCCATATACCACATAAAGATGGGAAGGGGACCTCTTTCTGTCTTAGCAGACTTCTGAAAGGGGGAACTGCCCTTGCTCCTGTTTTGCTTACAGCAGGTCTGCTAGATCTTAGTCTTGAACCTTGCTATGCCAGAACTTGAGGCATAGGAAGAGCTGGCCCCGTGTGGACATTGGGAGCAGCTGTGTGCGGGGCATTTAGGAAGGGGAAGTGGGGAATTCCAAGAGACAGAGGTGGATGAGCAAGAATTTGAGCAAAAGGGGCTGCTGCTGTTCCACTCTTACAAGAACACCGAGGCTGTTCATGAAGTCGGTTTAATAGCCATTCCAGCATGCATACCAAACTCAAAGGCCTGTGGCAATAAGAGCTGCCTTAGTTTTACTGTCTCCTGTAGTGACGCAGAGTGAAGACAAAGTGTTGCAGCAGCTATTCGCTCCAGATGCTCCTCTCTGAACCAGTCAGACGGGGATTTATCCTGACTACTTAGGACAAGGTGATGGGGAAAATCGAATGGGAGAGGGAATGTCTTATATTAGGGAATCGGCCAGCACTAGGTTTGTCTCCCCATTGTGCTAGAGCATAATTTACAAATCCAAAGCAGTCTCCAGAAGCGCCAAGGCTCTTCATAAAAGGGGCTAGGGTTTTGGTTTTGAGGGTTTGTATTATTTTTTGTGTTCTTTTATCAGTTTATATTATTTTTGTGTCTATCTTAATTATCCTCAGGAGACCTTATGGGACAAAGTTTAAGCTGGCAGAATTGAATTGCCTGCCTCAAGCTTTTTTTTTTGTTTTTTTTTGTTTAGTGTTGTAAAACAAATATTTCTCTTCCTCAGTTAAAGAAAACCAAAAACACACCCTCCAACAACTGAATACTAATCCTTTAATGCTACTTCTTTCTAAAGGGTAGAATTTTGTTATAGGCTGAGTTCCTCCCTTTTAGCCCCTCCAGGTTTGGGCTTTTCTAAGGACCAAATGTGGTATTCTGAAGTTCTGTAACCAGATTGCCAAAGGTGAAAACCTGGGCAGAGGTCTTCTCTTCCAGAAGTGCCTCTGCTTCAAACAAACAAACAGGCAAAAAAACAACCTGAAGAAATTATCAAAGCATGAAGAGGTAAGTGTTCCCTAGAGCCAAATACCTGAAAGCAAGATGACTTTATAAACCATGTGTTGCAGCTTTTCTGTTTTCAGAAGTTTCATGTGAATATTTGAGTGAAACATAAGACTGTTCTGTGTGGAAAGCACCTACTGTTGCAGGAAAGCTGTAGTGGCAAGGGAGGAGGCCTTTGGAATGGGCTCTTTCCTAACCTGTGTTAGAAGAGGGGAAGAGGGAAAGGTGCTTAGAAGATGGATTAAATGTGGCAGCAGCTTCCTAGTCTTAAATGTTGAATCTCACTTTAGTGGCATCCTTGTTGCTATGAGAAAAGACTTCTGAGACTTCTTGAATCAAAATAGGCCCAAAGGAAGCTGCCCATGCTTGTACTCTGTAAGACTATTTGGTCTGATGTAATTTGGAGACAGGGAAAGGGGAGGTTAGGATCTCTAAGTGCAGTCAGGAGAGGGGAAGGCTGCCCTTGAACCATTTTATCCTTAACAGGCTGGGTGTGATAAAGCTCCTGTTTAGCTTGGCCCTTGGCAAGGGTAGGCAGGCAGGTAGCCTGCCTGTGTTACTAGCTACTTCTGAGGACCGGATTTTATTTCAGTCAAATGGGAAGGGTTCACTTCTTCATTTCATGTTCCATGTTCTTAATAAAAAAAATGCTTGTTCAGGCTTTGCAGGCTGCTTTTTACCTCCTCCCCCTGCCCCCAACCTGAACACTAACCTCGTGTTTGAGAAGTACAGCCTTCATCAAAAAGTTACTTTTGATTTCTATTGCTGCAGAGAAATATGGAGCATGTGAAACTTTTCGCATCCATAACTACCTGAGCTTTTAAAGCTTCAGCTATTAAAGAGGTGAATACTCCTCCCTCTTAAGCCCTAAGGGACCTAGAGTGATACAAGGTGGCAGCAAAAAAACATGTACTAACAAGAAGAGATCCATTCCTACCAAAAGAAGTTCAGGCACCAAGGACCTTTCACCCCTGGATAAATAAAATGTTCCGGCACCAAAGCAAGCTCCTGTTACATCAACATAACACTTCACCAGGTTTTTTTTGTCATTTTATTTTTGAAAGTTGTGTTTTGTACAAAAAAAATTACCTTAAACACCACCATGAAAAACAGTAACCACAGACTTAGTGACTTCCTATTTTTCCCATGTTATGAGAAAGATTGAGACTGTAACAAAAGCCAAAGAAAGCAGGAATTGTTTGCCCACTCTAAACCCAGCAAGGAAGCAGGGCCACCTCTTTTCCCTCAGTGTCACTGTTCAGACTGCTTTGGTAGTATTAAAAATACAGGAACCTTGTCTGTACTCTGCTGTTAGCAGTAGTGGCTCGCTTATTCACAGTCTCTCTGCCCTCAAAACTTGGGACAGTTCTCTGCCAGTCTCTAACACAGCAGCATGGGATTGCTTAGAGTCTAGCACCTGGCATTAAACGCAATTAGGAGTCAAGGTGCCAAGTTCCTGAAGTTTCCAATTGAGTCTTGCAACTCAGCTGTACCTGCTTTTCACCAGGGCCCCAGGAGAAGGTGCCTCTCATTCCCAGCCAGTAGCAGTGTGCAAGTACCATCTGTGCGGGGCAAGTGTCTTAAGACCGCATCTACACCATGCATAAAGTGGACAGTGATTTACAAAAGCTGGCTTTGTAAGCATGGGAGTCCCTTAGGCAGTTTGTAAAGTGTTGGCATTCTTGGTTCCTTTTTTTATAAAAATAAATTTTGGTAGCTTCATGGGAAAACCCTCTGCCAAACAAAGAACTTTCGAGGTGCATGACTTCACAATGCTGACAGTGACTGACCTGCGTGGGCAGTCACCTCAGGAAGCTTGTAACAGAACTCAAGTGACAGCTACCTTTCTCTTTTTGCCGTGATGTCAGTCTCAGTGTCAGCAAATGTTCCCTTTACTTAGCAGCACGTAATTTCCTTTTGCTTCTCAGTGATTGAGAAGACAATATTTTGACTGAACTGGAAAGTCACAAGACTCTAACTCCTGTTGGTTTTTAGCATTGCCCCTCTCCAGCCTGAGAGGATGGCATCCATCCCTTTATACCTGTTGAAAGAAACCGGTGTGTACTCTTCCAACATATCGCCATTAGGAAAAGAAAAGTCTGCAGAGGTGCTGATGCCTCTTCCACCCGCACGGAGCCTAGCATAGAGCACCCAGCGCAGGTTATGCTGGCAGAAACAGTGCGCAACAGTGCAGAAGCTAGAAAGGCTGAAAATGCATCCGAAGAAAAAGAATTCCAGTGTTTTACAGATCCTGTAAACCCCAGGGAAAAGAAAAAAGATCCCTCCTACAGTCTCAGCTGTTTTAACCCACTGCCTCATTTTACTTCCCCTTTCTGCACCCATCCATGGCCCTTTTTTCCTCTCAGTGATTCACCTCTCATTCCT